ACTTTTTTTTATTTTTCCACTTTTTCAATTAAAAAAAGTGACAATTAATTTTACACAGTATTTTTTACTTCCTTATTAAGTTTCATATGATTTTTCAAAACACCCTTAATTTTAAGGGTATTTTTGTAAGTACCCCTTCAGAAGGGAGTTTCGGGCCCAATATAGATAATTTGCAACTCTACAAAAATTTATTTGATTTTCGACTTTTTTTAAACGTCAAAACCCTATAGATTGCTGTGTGTTTTTTTTTTTTTTTTAAGTTATACAAATGGATTGTGATTTGTCAAGCTAATTTTGACATAATTTTTGACATAAATGAGTACGCACTTTGACGTTCAAGTGTTCATATGCATTCAAAGAAAAAAATTGACCGTATTATCGCGCGCATACCATATAGGCGAAGCGTTTCAAAAATGCATCGAGCATATACGGGTATATGCGAAGCATATACGTGCATTTTAGAACACTGCTTAAAACATAGTTTCGAAATAGAAACAATTTTTTTGAATTTAAAGTTTTACATAATTTGCTTAAAAAATCAAGAAAAAAAAATATCCAATGTCACTACATATATAAACTCCTAAGCGCTAGTGCTTATCTTATGTTAAACATTGAAGAATGAGTTCATAGTTCATGTGAATTAAATGATTGAACGATTAATTGATTTGTCATTTTTTTGATGATTAGCTACTAAGCATCGATTCTTAAAATATCATTTTCCGTATATATATTTGAGCTCGGCATATTTAAGTCGTTATTTAAATTCTTTTCGAACTAACTTGTGCTCATTCACATGGTTATTTTCACCTAAACAATCTCCCCAGTTTGATTATTTATATTGTTATTATTAAAATTGGTCACCTAAAGAGATTTTTTGTCGCTATCTTATTATTGGTGTTTTTCCTATTAATTGATACATTGGGCATAGTATTGGATTTAAATGATAAGATTCAGAGAGATCGTCGAATATGACATTTTATGTTACACCTTATGGAAAAACCGATAATAAAAGTTCTTGGCTATATTTTCACTCATAATAAATTTTTGAACTTGTTAAGTGATTTTTTTATTTATGAGTGCTTTTTTACATTTAAATGATTTTTTTTAACTTATAAGTACAATTTTAACTTCTATATGAATATTTTTACTTATATAGTTTTTTACTTATAAGTAATTTTTCTCCATATAAGTGAATTTATACTCATAAGAGATTTTTTATATACTTACAAGTGAATTTTTTACTTTAAATAATTTTTTGTTATAAAAGAAGAAAAAAAAATTTACTTATAAGCAAA